TTCATGTTTTGTTGTGAGGATATTAAAGGGACTATCTTCATGTTTTGTTGTGAGGATATTAAAGGGACTATCTTCCTAATTTCAAGTTACACTTATTTTTATTTTCTGATCCATAAAATTTCCATCCCTGTCTTTGCTGCAGGAATGTACAAGTCCCTTAACTTTAACAACGGTTGGAAATTTTCAATTTTTAGAGAGAAAACCAAAGATAGCCCAACCGTCAAACAAATGTTGAAAATATGCCTCTGATAATCGACGATGAAAAAACGTACACACTACGAAATCCCGTTTATGTATGTTATAAGTAAATCTTACGTTTTGCTCTCTGACAGGTACAAAAACTCGAGAAGATTCAGCAAAAGTCTAAAACATCAAAATTTTGTATTTTTAACAAATTAGATGGTTCTTCTAAACTTTTTTAACTTCTACTTTAGAGTTTCTGTAAATTTAATACATTTTACTTTTTACTTTTAAACTTCTTTATCTAGGAAGGTGACAAGTAAACCTACCTAGGTATATGGTAGACTAGGAAGGTGACAAGTAAACCTACCTAGGTATATGGTAGACTAGGAAGGTGACAAGTAAACCTACCTAGGTATATGGCAGACTAGGAAGACGACCACAATGCAAACCAGAACTACTGCAAGATTCATCTCACTCTTCATATTTTGTTGTCTTAACAATTAAAAATACTTTAAAAGTTATTTGTTGTCAAAAATTGTGTTTAATTGATAAAAGGCTTGCATAATTTCATATACAAAGTTGTGATCTCTGTTTGCCTGACCGTCTTTTTGTTTGTCCAATCATAACTCAGGAACCCTTGGGCCGATTTGCCACAAATTTTGATTTGGGTATTAGGGAGACAAACGGAAATGTTTTTAGCTTGGTTTTAAGATTCTAAATTATGTAAGTTGACTTTTATCGGGGAAAATAGCTAAATTTGGATTCGAAAGAGCTTCAAGACTTTTTTGATATTTTTGATTTTTTTTTTTTTTTTAATGAAACTAAAGTTTTGCAGGTTTTTTTAATTTTTCACTGAAGAATTTTCAAAATTTAAACAAATTTAAGAAGGTCTTAGATAAATTTCCGTTTTAACGATTCCACGTTCGATAGGTTAGACAAGCCAAAAAACGGACCTTAGAGCTGACTGCGTATTTATTTTTTCCTTTTTTATTTCAGAAATATTTTATTTTTACAATCATTTTCTTTGTTAAGAAAACACTTTTCTAAATAAATATTAGCTTCAATTTGTCCTCTTACTAAATAAAAGAAAATCAAACAAACCTCCCCCCCAACAATAAACTTTAAAAAATCGATATTTTTTTAACTGTGTCGCTTAACCGTCCTGTTCCTCTTTTGTACAGTGAAACCCTTAATAACGAATACATCGAAAGAATTAATCAAATGTCGTATTCTTCACTTTCTGATGATGGAATGTTGAAGATATTTAGTTTTTTAATTAAATGATTATATGGAACTCTTTAAAACTGTTCCCGCATATTCGTGGCTATTTATTTATTTTCGCAAATACTGAAATTTACGAAATATAGTATATAACTCATTGAAAAATTGTCAAGACGACATTTGATAAATTCTTCCGATGTATTCGTTATTAAGGGTTTCACTGTATGTTCCACAGGAAAGATGTGAAAGAAATAGATTTTACTTGGTTTGAAAACTAGATTTAAAAGTTTTGATAAATAATTATTCAAAACAAAGTTTACAAAGAACAAAAAACTATGTTTGCACACTAAAAAATAAAAGATTGATTGAATACATTCCACCAAAAATTTTGATGGAATTTGTATGAACAATTTTTTTCAAGTGTTTTCAAAATAAATCTTAATATTTATTTTTTATTTCTTCAGTGTTAGGACAGGCTAGGGGAGATTGCCAAGGCTAGGACAGGATAGGGGTCAGAGTGCCGAGGCTATAACCAGGACAGAATAAGGGGTGGAGCGCCGAGGCTAGAGCAGGCTAGGGTTGTTGGGTGTAGCGCTGCGGCTAGGACTGGGTAGCGGCTGGAGCGGCGCAGCTAAGACAAGTTAATGGCGAAGTAGCGCAGCTAGGACAGGCTTGGTTTCGTAGTGCCGAGGCCAGGACAGGCTAAAGCGTGGAACGGCGCGGCTAGAGGGCCGAGCGCCGAGGCCATGACAGATAGGTGGCCGAGACGCTGCGGTCGCACATTAAAATTTTGTTACAGATAAGATGCATATACAAAATTAATTGCCAAATGGTAGGGGGATATCGTGGCGAGGCCGAAGGGGCGGGGCCAAAAATTTGATATGAGGAAATTACCAATCAGCTTACCTTCTTGAAACCTCTGCTGTGTTGGCTTTCTTGTTTATATTTCGTTGTTGCAGTGCTCGTATACCCTATATATATCAATCATAACCGTAAAAACAACTGAACCGATTGGGCCCAAATTTTGTGTGGGACCGCAAATGACCTCCTCAGCAAAGGTTTATGTACCATCAAAATTAAAAAAATATCGTTTCTTTAATGCGCCAATTCGAATAAAAAATCCGCTAACATTTTAGAATTATTAAAACTGAGCTGAAAACTTTAGAATGGGATATTCTTAATCCCGATTTGTTAATTAATCTGGAGATTAATAACAAGAGGAGTACAAGCTATTTTTAATCTGGAGATTAATAAAAAGAGGAGATCAAGCAATGATATCAATATCCACCATTCTAAAGTTTTCAGCTCTGGCTGACTTTAAGAGCAACAGTTTAAAGCTAAATCGTTTATAATTTAAATTAAGTGATTTAGTCGAAAAGATTAGATTAGATTAAAGATTCATCGTTTAAAAAAACATTAGATAGGAAAAAAGTTTATAGTGGTAGTCAAATATATTGAAACCCAAATGGGGCCCGACTTGGGATATCAGAAAAGACAAGATAAATTTGATTAAATTCATTTCACACAGCGCAATATCTGAATACAATAAAAAGATATTCATTGATAAAAGGTGAATTTATGAATAACATTTTTTTGAGACAATTTTTATCTTTTTATCTTTTAATCTTTGCGGAAACTCACAGAATAATAATCAAAACATTTTCAAACTATCAATTATCCGGTGTATAGATGATTTTGTACTTTTGTCAAAATTCGAATAAACGTTTGATTTGCAACATAAGATGATACAACCATTTTATAGCCATGTTTGTTCTTTTTTTAATGACTTTCTTAATATTATTATTATGCTAACAAAATAATTAAAAGAGAAGTTTGTAAAATGTAGTAAACAATAAGAAAAGAATTAACAAAATCTAAAATAAATCTTACAATATATATTTTTGTGTTGAAGAAGGAAAGAAATGCGATAGGTAGAATTCCAGTAAGTAGAAGCCTGAAAAAATAATATAATTTATTATTTAAACTAATTAAGTTATTTATTAAAAATTGATTTAACTAAATAATCTTTAAAATATATATGGATCATTTATGAATAAGAATAAATTAATGGTTATACATTAATGACCATTAATCCGTTTAAAACATTGTTCATTGTCTGTATGTAATATATATATATAAATAAATACTTTGCTTGTCTGAGTGTCTGTTTTTAGTTTGTTTGTGTCCAATAGACGCCAAAACGACAGAACCGATGGGGCCCCATTTTTTTGAAAATGCGCCAATTCAAATACAAAAATCCTATTGTATTGTATTGTATTCGATGGGGCCCCATTTTTTTGAAAATGCGCCAATTCAAATACAAAAATCCTCAAAATTTGAGATTGATTTAAGATGGTCGAATTTTTAAAGACTAAACTTGTTCACAAGATTGGGGGGCTCAAAGCTCTCTTAAAGAAATAGAATTGTACATTTTACAACAAAGTTTGTAACATAAACTAAAATGTGAATTAAGCATGGCTAAAAATTGCACCACAGAGGAGTACATATTGTACACCTACACTGTACTGTACTGCTGTTAAATGTACATGTTTACCTGATTATAAATGTGTAGTATTTAATATAGTTTGGATCTAGTTTAAGAGGAGTCACATTAAACCCTTCTATTGAACCCTGTCCCATACTCTCGTTAGTCGAACTAATAATAAGAATTATTAGAAAATAGGTATCTGGGAAGACAGGCAGACATGTAGACAGGTAGACAGGTAGACAAACAGACAGGTAGAAAGGTAGACAGGTAAAAAGTAAGACAGGTAGAAGGGTAGACAGGTAGACAGGAAGAACGGTAGACAGGTAGACAGGTACACATGTAGACAGGTACACAGGTACATAGGTACACAGGTAGACAGGTACACAGTAAGACAGGTAGAAGGGTAGATAGGTAGACAGGAAGAAAGGTAGACAGGTAGACAGGTACACAGGTAGACAGGTACACAGTAAGACAGGTAGAAGGGTAGACAGATAGACAGGAAGAAAGGTAGACAGGTAGACAGGTAGACAGGTAGACAGGTAGACAGGTAGACAGTAGACAAGTAGACAGGTAGACAGGTAGACAGGTAGACAGGTAGACAGGTAGACAGGTAGACAGATAGACAGGAAGTAAGGTTGACAGGTAGACAGGAAAACAGGTAGAAAGAAAGGTTTACCTGTTCGTGTATGTGAACTCAGTTTCGAAAAATTTTGGAATGTTTAGAGCAATGCTTCCCAGAACCACAGGAACCACATAGCAGAGAACCCTATGACAGATAGTGATGTTCTTCATTCGGTTGCGTTTCTTGGGTAGTTTTTGCCTATTATCCTTTAGGGTCAAAATAAGAAAAACAAATGTTTTCTAAAAGATTTTTGCAAAAAAACGAAACGAAAACGATTTAAAAATCATGCAAAAACAAACGAGTTCTTTAGATCTTTTTAGGAAAAATTAATTTGAAAAAAAAATCATCCAAAAGGATTAGCAACCTGCAACACTACCTAAAGATCACAATATATATATTCCTATAAACAGTCATAATATCATATAAAATATGTTTGAGTTTCTGTGCACTCCTTGTAGACTCTCATTTAAAAAAAATAAAATTGCAGGTCATATTCTGAAATTAGATTTCACCATTGCTAAAAAAATGGATTTTTATGTACATTAATTGATAACCAGAAAACTATAGAATAGGAAGACGACAAGCAATACTGAATTGCACTTGATATTGTTTCAAAGCAAAACCTTTACTAATAAATTATTAAAATAGGTATAAAGTGAAATGGTTCTGTTTTCATTGCACAATTGATATGCCTGATGTTCATTGGACTATTTTAAGTCAAAACATGAGTCTAAAAGTCGACTTACTATTCCAAAGTTCTCTGGTTTTGGATTAAATATTTATCTATTTTAACTTCATTTTTCTGTGAAAGTTTTGGTTTGGGAAAATCTTTATTAATAATTTCATTTAAATATAATTAATAAAATTTCATTTCTACACTTTACTGAATATATCATAGATTAATAACAACACAACGAGAACACTATATGTCGTCGTTTTAAGATTTTGGGGGTTTTCGTTCAGACTGAGGCAGAAGCCCAAAGAAGGTCCGCGCAGGCAGCGTTAAATTACAAGACAGAGAGATATTGTGAACGAAAAACCTTTAAATCTTGAAGAGACAACATCTGGTGTTCTGTCTGTGGTGTTATTAATCTATAAAATATATGGAAAACTTTAAAGTAAAAATTTCCGATCTTGTAGACCTAGAGAGATTCCTGTGATGTTTTATACTTCCATGAATATATTACGTTTATACATTTTTTATACTCTTTAAACCTTACACATACAGTAATAACCAGAAATCTTGGAAATATGAAGATGACTTTTAGACTCCAGTTATTATGTTGAATAGTCCAATTAGCATGGGACGCAGCAATTGTGCAGTGTAAACAGATACATTTTATTTATTTAGTGACTTAATAAGTGTCAATATCAAATACTTTTAAGTATTGCTGTAAAGTCGTCTTCCTATTTCAGACTTTTCTAGTTATCACTGAAGTCTTCAGCTTTTTGTTTTAAATTTATAAATGTATTTTTACACCTTATTCTTTTTTCTTTATTCAAATTACCTAGCGTCTAATTCATTTTGTAAAATTCACAAATTGAAAAGAGGATTGCTGCTGTAACAACATAAAGCACTGAAATACCATGCATTGGAACCCGTAAAACTGTGGAATAATTATGCTTTAAGTCCAACGTAAAAAAACAGAAATTGTGCAAAAACCAATGTCAAGTTTCTTAAAAACAGCTCTTTTGTTAAACCATGCATATCACTTCAATCTTATTAGATATCCAGTAAAATGTGTTGTCTGTGGGAAACGAACAGCCAATCAGAAGCCAGGGAATTTCGCAATGAGAGAACAAAGAAATTGCGGATATCGAAGATCAAGCAGATTCTGCGTAAAATTTACAACTGCCCACTGTGGTAATCGAGATCACATATTCGGTAATATGGGTATCCAACTCAAAATAGGATGGATTAAATACCTCATGCTAACTGATTTGGACAGATTGATATCTCTGTATTCTGTTGGTCTGCAGACTGCAAGGTATCTAAATACAGTTTAAATGTTTTATAATAATTTTTTTTATACAGTGGTAGGCGATTTTATTAATACAATGATGACGACTTTTTCATTTAAGATTTGATTACTCACACTCTTTTATAAAAACACAAGATTACACGTAATGAAGGAAAAGCTTTTTATGATTAACATGTTTTTATGTGTATCCATGCTGTTTAACTGCTTGATATCATTCAAAATTGAAATCTAAAGTCGTCTTTATTGTATTGATATAATATTACTGTGCAACAAGGTCAGCGACTGAAAGTCGAAAAAATAAAAATCTTTTGCTAACGCTTTTTTTATGAAGAAGGTTTCAGAACACCTATTATTCCAGTATAAGTATGAAGTTTAAAATTGCCTAAAAACTTACAGGGTGACAAGAAAATTAACTGTTATTAGGAGTTTACATTAATCACAGTAATTAAAAGACTCAAAAATGTTCTGTAGTACATAGCTTTAAATTTTAGAAGAAGTGTAAGTTTTTTGACCGATGCTTCTATTTGGCTAAATTAAATTTAAAAAATCAACTTCAGCAAACCCATTTAAAAAATTCTAATTCATAGCCAATTTTTGAGCACTTTAAGATTCTTGTTTTTTGGTCACCCTGGGTTTATATTTATAAATTACGTTAAGACCAAAAAAAATGAATAGTTTAATTTACAATTTTAAATATAGCTTAGGTTTTACCGGGAAATTGATAATAAGATTTCATGATTATTTTTTCTAAAAAATACCTTTCTCCTGCTACCAGCACTGTTAGAAATACAGAGCAACAGAAACTCATGTTATTTAACGGATAGGTGAACTAACCAATATTTATTCATTGTATTGTATTGTATTGTATTGTATTGTATTGTATTGTATTGTATTGTATTGTATTGTATTGTATTGTGGTGGTTCATGTCTGTTGGGTGGTTCATGTCTGTTAGGTGGTTCATGTCTGTCAGGTGGTTCATGTCTGCCAGGTGGTTCATGTCTGTCAGATGGTTCATGTCTGTCAGACGGTTCATGTCTGTTAGGTGGTTTATGTCTGCTTAATGTTTACACGAATAATCTAATTGGCTATTTTTGTATAATCTATTTTGCCATTTTGTGGCGGCAATAGTTATCTAAATCTTCCTCGAGGTTTTTATATTTCATACAATCTATAACTTTTAGCTTTAAAGAGAAAAACTCATACAAAGTGTATATTACGAACATTTTATACACACACTGAAGTCACTGTACATATGAATCTAAGTTTGAATCACGAGGAAAAAAACTTTCTTTAAAAAAACCTGGAAATAAATCTTGGGGAAAATGTCCCGAGAGAAAAATTGTAATTGTAAATAGTGTCCTGTGTTTAAGATTTCTGGGACTTTTTTCAAAAAAAATTAAGTCCTAGTCCAGAGGACTTCTAAAGTGCCAAATTTTAGGACTTTTATTTCCGAAAACTTGTTTTAAGAGAACTTTCTTAGAGGTTACTCTGTACATAGTTGAGTATTAAGAAAGCAGAATATTTTTGAGAAAAAAATATCTTTTATTGAAAAAAGGAATGATCGAGTCATAAATCAATATTTAGATTTTTAAGGTTAACTACGAGAATTATCTATCGGGAGAGTTTTATGCTTTTTTATCGAATCAGTCCTTATATATTAGGCTACCCCAAAAAATAAAAAAAACACTTATTTTTTTGGCTTTAGAGATCAATACTTAGGTTCTAGTGCATATTGCAATGCACCATACAGAAAATTTATTTTATATACTTTCTATCAAAATATTTGAACTTCCGTCGTAATACAGAATATTTGATATGGTTTATAAAATATTTGTAAGGTTTGAAGAAAAAATCAAATTTAAAATTGATTTTAATAATTGGAGAAAGCAGATAAATCAGGTTTTAGTGGATTCATATTTAAACATGAAAACCCCGTTTTTGGAAAATATTCAGTCTATTGTCATCCTTCTAAGAATATTCCATGTGAAGTAAAATAGAAAAAACCAAAAAAAATTATTTGGACTTTTTCACATTAAATAAACTTAGACAAGATGGCGATGCAACCAAGGTTCTCGAGCCTGTAGACGGAATAAAAAGTCCCTCCCCCCCCCCCGTTAAAAGTGGTTAATGTCCGATTTACAACGATAAAAAGGTACCATTGGATATGATCGGATATGCACAACTCTAAATGAAATAAACCTTTTTATAAAAAATATAAGGATACAAAATAAGAATGAGGGTTTTTTAGGAAATTATCCGGATTCTGAAAATTCGCTATGAGAAACAGATATACCCCTCAGTAATGGATCCGGTCCCTTTTATTTACTTTTTCCGTTTGTACTTCCTCCTTGAATTAAACGGAAACTAAATGCTCTATCCATAGATTAATTAACAATACAGATCGAACACTCGATCTCGTCTTTTCAAGATTTAGGAGTTTTTCGTTCACAATAACTACTTTTCGCTTCTGCCTCAGGGTTATTGTGAACGAAAAACCTCTAAATCTTGAAAAGACGACATCTAGTGTTCTATCTGTATTTTTATTCATCTATGGCTCTACCTATTTACTAAAATATTCCACGCAACAATGATTTGATTGATTTCAGAACTAGTCATACAATTTTTATCCTTTTCTTTTAAAAAGAAAAAGTCCAGTTTTTCAGTGTTTACATTTAGTTACATGATTTTAAACATTTTTCTAATCCTTTTTCATTTAACTTGAGCAATTGTTGATAACTGTACAATGTCTACTTTCCCCACTGTCTTGACTTTCACAAATAACTTTGATTGGAGTCTGCAGTCTACCAATTGGAATTAACATATGCAAAAGCAAATACAGAATACAGGAATGTCTTGATATATTTTAAACTAATTATGGTTGAAATATTCAAGTTGTTCAGAAACCAAATATAGAAATATCAATATTAAATATATTAGGACTCAATTTGAAATCGTAAACTCGTTCTGTATACAGATACAGATACAGATACAGATACAGATACAGATACATGTATTTTAACAATAAACTTTATCTTATCTTATCAACTAATCTCTATCCTCCTGTTCAGTATTAAACTAATCTCTATCATCCTGTTCAGTATTAAACTAATCTTTAGCCTCCTGTTCAGTATTAAACTAATCTCTATCCTCCTGTTCAGTATTAAACTAATCTCTATTCTCCTGTTCATTATTAAACTAATCTCTATTCTCCTGTTCAGTATTAAACTAATCTCTATTCTCCTGTTCATTATTAAACTAATCTCTATCCTCCTGTTCAGTATTGAACTAATCTCTAGCCTCCTGTTCAGTATGAAACTAATCTCTATTCTCCTGTTCATTATTAAACTAATCTCTATTCTCCTGTTCAGTATTAAATTAATCTCTATTCTCCTGTTCAGTATTAAACTAATCTCTATCCTCCTGTTCAGCATTGAACTAATCTCTAGTCTCCTCCTGTTAAGTTTTAAAATAATCTCTGGAAAAGTATTAAACTAATCTCTAGAAAAGGATTAAACTAATCTCTGTAATGGGATTAAGCTAATCTCTAGAAAACGATTTAACTAATTTCAAGAATAGGAATAAACTAATCTTTACAATAGGATTTTACTAATCTCTAGAAAAGGATTAAACTAATCTCCGGAAAAAAAATTCAACTAATCTCTAGAATGGGATTAAGCTAATATCTAGAAAAAGAATTTAAATAATTTCTAGAATAGGAATAAACCAATCTCCACGATAAGATTAAAGTAATCTCTAGAAAAGGATTAAAGTAATCATTGGAAAAGGATTAAACTAATCTCTAGAAAATGATTAAACTAATCTCTAGAAAATGATTAAACTAATCTCTAGAAAATGATTAAACTAATCTCTAGAATAGGATTAAACTAATTTCTAGAAAAAGATTAAACTAATCGCTAGAAAATGAGTAAGGTATAACCTCTAGCAAAGCTGTAGTCGAAGACTGTAAATACGATGAAGATGATATCGAAGCAGGCCAGGATGATGAGTAGTGGTTTTGAGAATCCCAAGGGGGCATATAGTGAATAAAATAGAATACTGCATTTCTTTTTAAAATAATCTTTGTACAGTTTTGTTTTAATCTTTTGTCAAAATTTTATAAATAAATTTTTAAACAGATCAACATTGATAACTTTGCAAAAATGTTGTCATTTTTCATTAAAAATAATCAAGAATAAAGAATATCTCGACAGCCATCTTTGATTATCCTCTTCAATTTCACTGTAAATAAAAAGAAGCTCGAACAGAAAAGTTTTTAATTATATTTTAAGAAAATTATTTTCAAAAATAACCATTAAACATAGAAATATAATTCAGCGGATTTTGAATATTTGTATTTACAACACAAGCTATGGGAAAAATGATCAAATTTGTCTTAATAAAACTTTTATTCCAGTAGGACGTCTTAGCGTAGGTAGGTGGGGTGGGCGAAATATGTTTTTTTCGGGGATTGATAACTAAATTAAAACACGGGCAGCCGGGTCAACTTTTCCAGTCCCAGTTTGTACTGAATCGCCCGGACATTGGGTAAATAAAGCTGACACTCAATAGGAATATTCGGTGCAACAAGGTTGACGCGGTTAGACTTTAGGTTGACTCTACTTTTGCTAGAGGGTCAGGGTGCGTGAAAATGAAACATGTGAAGATGTTGCATTCCTTTTTCCACTAGTTTAAATAGATATTTAATGAGATTTTCGGAAACGTGAATGTCCTTAAAGGATCACTGGTAACGAATTATCAAGTAACCCTCCAATGATAGAATGTCATGTCCAATTTCACCGTGCACGGTATCCTTAATAGCTTTTTCTGATCAAGTATTAGTTAAACACTTTTTAAGTCAGAAAAACGACAACATCTTTTGCAATTTTGATCAGATTAAATGTCAAGGGTACCATTGTGAATCGGGCGTACCCTTCTTTAAATGAAGGCTAATTTAAAATATAACAATCATCTCTTTAAAGTAGTGTTTCCCAGGAATATTTATATTTTCATCAATTTATGTTTATCAAATTAAGTAAATTATTCAAAAGTTTGAAGAAATAAATAATGAGAAAAATATGTTTGAAAATAAAATAATCAGATAACTTGATTTATGTAGAAAATAAACAAACAATTAACTTGAAAGTAGGATTTCCAATAATTCTTTATTATTTCAAACTACATTGCACGAAAAGGACAATTTTGAAGAAAATTTTGATGCAAAGATTGTTTTAAAATAAAAATATCTAGATCTGTACCAGCTTGTAGTAATCTAATGGATGTTAGGTACTTTCCCAACAGAATTTTCCTAAGTGGCAACTTCCCAAGGGTATTTTCCCAAGTGGCAGCTTCTCATGAATGTTCAATTTCACAAGCGGCAACTTTCCAAGTCAGTCCTAGCCTCAGCGGTCGGCCTCTATCATGTTATGGCCTCAGCGCTAGGCCCTCTAGACCCATCCTAGCCGCAGAGCTCGGCCTTTATTGCAGCCTCCAGCGTCTCAGAAGGCCTAACCAAACCTTTGGGAAATTGGCGCTTCGAAAATTTCCCATTTGGGAAGTTGGCAATTGGGAAATTGTCACTTTTGGAAAAGGATGAAACTAATCTCTGGAAAATAATTAAATTAATCTCCAGAATAGGATTAAACTAATCTCTAGAAAAAGATTTACCTAATTTCTAGAATAGGAATAAAGTAATCTTTACAATAGAATAAAACTAATCTTTACAATAGGATTTAACTAATCTCTTGAAAAAGATTAAACTAATCTCTAGAAAAGGATTAAACTAATCTCTAGAATAGGATTAAACCAATCCCCGGAAAAGTATTAAACTA